CTTCCTAAGATGTCTAATGGGAAACCAAATTAAGTCCTTATTTATCATCCATTTTCTCTCATTTTTTTTCATTATTTTTTCTACAGTACTCATTTTCAATCACACATTTTTTATTACAATAATATTACACGTAATATTATTTTAATTTCAATCACACATTCTTCACACATTTATTTTTCAATTACACATTTTCCTCATCCAAATCGAGACTATTTTTTATTTGAAAAGTTTTGAATTTATGTGTAGCAATAATTTATGAAAAATATGTGATTGAAATTTAGGAAAAATGCCTTTTTGAAAAACTAGATCCCAAATATTAAAACGTGTCCAATGTTCATAAATCAAAATTGACAGGTGATATCCTGGTTGACCGTTGGGAGGGAAGTGGCTGGAGGCATTGGTCTCAACCGAAATTTGAATAATGTTTATACTCAAAGTTTGATTTTATTTATTTTTTCCTGATTTAAATTTAACGATTTTGAGCCCATGGTCTTGTCACTAATGATTCTCATTGACAAAAAATAAAAATAAAAAGAAGTGGAATCAGAGATCGATCACCAACAAGCATTCTTTTTATATTTTTAAGATAGAATCTGCATACTGAGCTTCAAACGAAACTCTTTCCATCTGATAATTTGTCACAAATTATATTCGTATATTGTCTTTTAAAAAAATATATAAATAAAAACTTCTGCAGGACGTTCGGACATTATTTATTTGATTTGAAAACAAAAATGTTGAAATAAGACATCTTTACCTCATTTGTAGTCGTTCAAGCCTCCCATAGGGGCCCACTATGAAATTCAATTCTAAAAGATTAAAATCAATAAAGTGAGGTCACATAGCCCCATATATGGAAAAAAGAATTATTTTACTGTATTTTATGGTAACTTAAGATTTTTTTTTCCTCAGCAATTAAGTTTTTTCAAACAATATCATATGTAGACTTTCACAAAATATCTTATATTAAGATTTTGAGCAAAGAGATATTTGCCAGTAGTGCCTGATGAATTACGTATTACTCAATAATCGATAGATTGGTTTGAGAAAAAACCAGGCATTATCAATTATGTGTTAAATTAATTATTGATACAATTAGTGAAAAACGAGTATAAGGTGTTCAATTTTCTTGTATTCATTAGTGGATGAATCGGAATGAAAAAGTTGTTCGTAAATTTCGTGTTTTCACACTTCTAGACGGTTGGAGGTTTGATTTGATAAGATACTTGACTTGACTGACATTTATTCAAGATGCCTAACAAATGTTAGAGTACATATGTAGATTTTAATTTTAATGTAATAATTAAATACTAATGTTTTACTTGTGTCGGTATAAGTTCATATTGTGAGGTTGACTATTCAATTTGAAAGCTATTTATAAATATCTTTTCTAATAATAATACTACTAGGGTCTGAGATTAAACTTTGTGTAGGCTTGTTTAAACTCTTAAAAGTTTGAAAATTGACATTACCACCTAATATTTACACGTTTTAGAATACTGCTATTAATTGATCGTGTGAATGGATACATGAGTTTAAATTTTTGTGTCACGCTAAGCTTGTAAAATTAATAGCTCATAAGCCTTTAATTGACCATTGCAATTAACTAACTATTCTTTTGTTTATAGAATACTAGTAGTAAGCACGTGCGTTGCACTTCTTATGTATAGATGAATGATTTATGTACTTTTTTGAATTAATAATACTATTTTTTAAAATAATAGAGGTAATTAATATTGTTAAAGGGAAAATTACAATTGAGTATATGTATATAAATGTTTTTAGGAAATTATATATATAATGTGAAAATGTTGAATAAACTAAAATGTAATAATATGAGTACAATAATACTTTTTTGTATATATATATTTTTTAGTGATCGAATGTCTCAATTAATATATTAATGTAATATTTAGCACATTTGTTACCTCATTAATACATTAATGCGACCTTTCAATTTGTAACCTCAATTAAATAATAATCTAATGGATGAATTATAATGTAAATTATGAAGATTAATAAGGGCTTTGTTGATGAAAAATAAGAATTGCATTGTTAATGAAAAATAAAAACTTAATGGATGAATTATAATGTAAATCATGAAGATTAATAAGGGTTTTGTTGATGAAAAATATAAAATTGCTTTGTTAATGGAAAATAAAAATTGTAAGAACAAAATACTCAATTGAAAGATAAGTCACTAAATTTCGTTGATTTATTTATTTTTTTAATAATTGAATCTCAGTTTCACTCCTTATATTAATTAGGGTAATTAGCATAAAACATCCCTACCTTTTGATGTTTTTTGTGGAAAACGTCCATACCTTTCATTTTTTGACGGATTACACCCTTACCTTTACCTTTTTTTGTGCAAAACGTCCTTCTGTCAACTCTCCGTTAAAATGCTCCGTTAAATCAAAAAGGTAATTAGCACAAAAGGTCCCTACCTTTCAAAGTTATTGTGCAAAACGTCCTTACCTTTTATTTTTTAGCATAATTAGTAGAAAATGTCCCTACTTTTCAATATTATTGTGCAAAACGTCCCTACCTTTCATTTTTAGCATTTTTACCCCTACATTTCACCTTTCATTGCGCAAAATGTCATTTTCATCCATTTTTCCAATAAAATGACGATATTACCTTCCTATTAAAATAAAACAAAAAGAAAAGAAAAAAATAATTAATTAATTGCAATCATAGTTCTAAATCTTTCAAAACATTACAGATAAATCATAAATTCTCAACCACCACAATTTTCACAACCTATCAAGCTGTCAACTATAAATCCACATAATACCACCTTTCGGCCACCATGCCCACCGGACTCCACCACCGTAAATGTAGTTGTTTCAGACAGATTAGTAACCAATACTATGGAGGAGGATATTGGGGAGAGTGAGGCGACACTGGTGGTGGTGGAGTCCGATAGGTGTTGTGGTCGAAAAGTGGTGCTATATGGATCTATAGGTGGTGGCTTGGTGGGGTTGGGAAAGTGGCGGTAGTGGAGAATTTAGGATTTATCTGTAATGTTTTGAAAGATTTAGAACTATGATTGCAATTAATTAATTATTTTTTTCTTTTCTTTTTGTTTTATTTCAATAAGAGTGTAAAATCGTCATTTTATTGAAAAAATGGATGAAAATGACCTTTTGCGCAATGAAAGGTGAAATGTAGGGGTAAAAATGCTAAAAATGAAAGGTAAGGACGTTTTGCACAATAATATTGAAAGGTAGGGACCTTTTCTGCTAATTATGCTAAAAAATAAAAGGTAGGGACGTTTTGCACAATAACTTTGAAAGGTAGGGACCTTTTGTGCTAATTACCTTTTTAATTTAATGGAATATTTTAACGGAGAGTTGACAAAAGGACGTTTTGCGCAAAAAAAGGTAAAGGTAAGGATGTAATCCGTCAAAAAATAAAAGGTAGGGACGTTTTCCACAAAAACATCGAAAGGTAGGGATGTTTTGTGCTAATTACCCTATTAATTATAACCCAAGTGATAAATATCAATTAAATATTTCACCACTTATATTAATTCTAAATCAAATGATAAATATTAATTAAATTGGTAATAAGAGCTCTGTTGATGAAAATTAAAAATTGTAAAGAAAAAAATCAATTGAATGTTAGTAATTGAATTTCCGTGTGTCATTTCTTTATTTATTTATTGAATGTCCTCATTAATATACTAATGCAACCTTTAAAATATTTGTAACATCAATTAAATAATAATTCAATGGATGAATTATAATGTAAAGTATGAAGATTAAAAATTGCTCTGTTGATGAAAATAAAAATTGGTTGCATGAATTATAATGTAAATCATGACGATTAATAAGGGTTTTGATGAAAAATAAAGATTGATTCGTTGGTGGAAAATAAAAATTGTAAGAACAAAATAGTCAATTGAATGGTGGAAAATAAAAATTGTTTTTTTTTTTTTTTGTTTTCTTTATATAATTGAATGTTAGTTTCGTGCCTTATATTAATTCCAATCCAAAATGATAAATATCAATTAAATATTTCACTCCATATATTATATTTATTCTAAACCAAATGATAAATATTAATTAAATTGGTATTCCAATTATATGGGTATAGTGGGCATATAGTTAAATATGTAGGGGTAAATTTGGTAGTTCAAAGTTTCTCCACCATCTACACTTTTAATATATTGTAGATTTTTTATTTTTTATTTTATATAATTGAATGTTAGTTTCATTCCTTATATTAATTCCAATCCATAATGATAAATATCAATTAAATGTTTCACTCTTTATATTATATTAATTCTAAACCAAATGATAAATATTAATTAAATTGGTATTCCAATTATGAGAGTATTGTGGGCATATAGTTAAATATGTAGGGGTAAATTTGGTATTTAAAAATTTCTTCACCATCCACACTTTTAATATATTGTAGATAAGTAATTTTTAGATGAGCTAATTTAGCCCCCGTTTGACCCTCATTAAATTCAATTACATTACATTACATTTTTCTCTCTCCTATTTTCAATCACATAATCTTCCATAAAATAATATTACACATAAATCGAAAATTTTTCCTTCTTTTTCAACCACTCATTTTTCAAAAAAATACTATTCCTCTCATTTTCATTTTCAGAAAATGGGGACCAAACGGGAGCTTAATATGGTATGCTGACATAAAATGTTTCAAATCTAGCCGCACATTTATATAGTCCACATGTCATTTTTTTATGATGATGATGGTGATAATGACAATGATAATAATGATAATAATAATAATAATAATAATCGAATTGTGCAAATATTTTGTGTTTTAGACGAAACAGTCAATTAATACGAGTAAGGCCACCGGTCCAACCTCTATATATATAATCATAGAATCATACTTTTTTAATAGTAGTAGTAGTAGAAAAGAAAAAGAATCGGATTGTATCATGTTTTAGACGAAACGGTCAATTAATACGAGTAAGGCCCCTGGGTCCAAGATCTATATATAGAACCATATTTTTTTCATTTGCACAAGTCCCTCCACACACACACAATCAAGACAAAATTACGGGCAGAAAAATGGCAGCAATGGCTACTGACCTTCCTCAGCAACCGGTAGCAACTTCCGTGGAACCATCTAACATGAATTCTGGCGTTAAAGTACTGGCTGAATCTACTGATCTTAAGTCTATTCCTTCTGAATTTTCGTTTGTGAATGAACCCACAGGCTCAAATTCTGATTCAATCCCAATCATTGATTTCTCCTTACTCACCTCTGGAAATCCTGATCAAAGGTCCAAAGTCATTCAAGAACTTGGCAAAGCTTGTGAAGAATGGGGCTTTTTTGTGGTACAATATATACTCTCTCAATTTTTTGTTTATTATACTGTCCAGTATTATCCAATACTCTATTTTTCCGTTCACAATAAATATTGCATGCATTTGTACGGGTTAATTCTTGCAGCTGGTAAATCACGGAATACAGGAAACCTTAATGAAGGCAACAATAGACAGGTCTTTGGAGTTCTTCGATTTGCCAGAGGAGGAGAAGCGAAAGTATGAATCGAAGCATGTTTCAGATCCCATCAAGTATGGCAGAGGCAGTGTCATAACTACTTCAGACAAGAAGATTTTCCTCTGGAGGGATTTTATAAAATCCTATGTCCATCCTGAATTTCATTGTCCTGATAAACCTCAAAATTTTAGGTATAAGCCTTTCTTAGAAAAATAGGAGTACTTATTCACATTAGAAATAAAAACTTAGGAGGAGCATGGCTCAAGAAATTATGATATAACTTAACATGTCAAGTGTTCGTATTTCATTGTAGGGAGATTATATTTGAGTACGCTGAAAGAAGCCGATTTGTAGCAAGGACATTACTCCAAGGGATATCTGAAAACCTGGGACTGGAAGAAGGATTTATCGAAGAAGCCCTAAAGTTGGACTCAATGTTTCAACTATTTGCTGCAAATTATTATCCACCTTGTCCTCAGCCAGATCAAGCGATTGGGCTCCCACCACATACAGATCATGGTCTTTTGACCTTTTTGATACACAATGAAGTGGCTGGACTACAAATACAACATAATGGGAAGTGGTTTAATACAAATTCACCTCAGAATTCCATTCTAGTTAACACTGCCGATCAGCTTGAGGTAAGTCTTTTTTCTTCTACCACGAAAAATCAACTTTTAACGTCTGCTAACTGCCAAAAAAAAAAAAAAATGCTCAAATTTAGGAGAATTTTCACCTTAATAATAAAATGAAATGCTTTTTGTTGACAGATATTCAGCAATGGGAGATACACGAGTGTGAAGCACAGAGCTGTTGTGAATAACCAATCAACAAGAATTTCTGTTGTTATACCCAATGGTCCAGCCCCAGATGCCATTGTTGGCCCAGCTTCACCATTAGTACAAAGAGATGGGCGTCCACTGTATCGGCCATTGAAATACATAGACTATGTAGAAACACAGCTCAGTAATCCAGTCGATGGCAAAGTGAACTTGGATTATGCGAAGATCCAAGACAACTAGAATTCTGTCCTCTTCTCTTCTCTTGTACCAGTATTGGTGTTCCTATATATACTGGATGTTGAAGATCTATATATGTGAAAAATAATGTAATGTAGGACAAGTAGTGTGTAGCACTCCTCTAAATGATAGTGAAGCTAGTCATGTTGTCTAATGAATAAAAATGCATCTCAACATCATTGGATAATATGACTGTGGTTTCACTACCGTTTAAATTAGTGTTAAACATCACTTGTGCTCAATAGCATTACTCTTATGAAAGATAGAAAAGATTATTGTGAGTTATTATATTTTATATGATCCAATAATGTCGACTGATATTGTACCTTTAAAATCTAATAATATTTGAATTTATATATCTGGTTTCAATTTATATACGAGATAGTTATGGATTATTTTTTGGTGACATATCGGAAATTCTTGTAGTTACCCTTTGATCAGATAAATTGACCAAATAAAAGAGAAAAAAAGTTCAATTCTAGAGAAAAAAATCTCATAACTTCTCACACGAACGTATTGGTGTGTAGAGGGCAAAACTATTCATCTCCCAATAGTAGTAAAACATTAATAATTAAGTAGTGATTGAAAGTTTAAATAAGAGAACTAAATTAATTTTTTGCTCAAATTAGTATTTTGTAGTTTTTGTATATATATTTTTCAATCCTATATATAAAGGAACTAACTATTATATATAATTCATATGTTAAACCAGGCAAGATAGAATCATTGACATTTTTTTACAACCTTTCTTTCTTATATACTTCTTAATCATGTCAAAATTCAATTTAACCCGACGTAATAAATATAATCTCACCATTTAATGCAAAATGAAGGAAAATTAGAAATGAGATCCTTAACTTTAGAAATGAGTCTTACCATCTCTAATGTTATAAATAATGTATTTTTATAAAGCAAATTTTAAAATAAAAAAGAACAAAATGAGTCTATCTTTTTATACTATTTACGGTTCTGAATTCCCAAGGAGCCGGTGTATTCAGGTCCAATACGTGGTATCCCTGTAGATGTTTCTCTTTCTAATCAAACAATTACTAGTACACCTAATGTCATCTGACTTCCATTTAATATTAACTCTCATTTTTTCTATTTGATGAGTAGATTTTGCTATAAGAAAAGGAGAAGTAGAAAAAGTTTTTGCACATGGAAATCACGTTTATCTTATCTATTGGACTTTGAGAAAGTAAAAGAGAAATTTCCACAATTCTATGTTGGAAAGAACATCAATCTTGTTACAACGACAGGCTCGACAATGCAGTCGATATAGAGGGGACATGTATTAATACATCATTGAACAGTTTCAAAAAATAAAAAACATACAACACTCAATCCCATCCTGTCACCCCCACCTTGTCATCCCCTTTCTGTTAGCAATCCCTATGTAAAGAGCATTATTTGCAAAATCATTATTAAAGTTTTATGTTGGAAACTGATGTTTAGGTTACATGGGTAGAACATGTTGAATATGATGAGAGTGTAACTCATCATCTCTACCGGCCTTTGATCAATGCTGGTATGGGATTCAGTGCCCAAACATCACAACTGCAAAATCTAAACTTGTTTTTAACTTTTGATAAACTTGCCTTTGCTCACTAAACTTATTTCTTGAGTTCTTCCTCTCACAATGAACCCCTATGACTGCATCTCTATATAATTTGTTAGGTTTTAATTATATTGGCTATTATTCAGACAAAAGAATTATTATAAAACAGTTGTAAAAGTCAAGGAGTCTATTGGAATGTTGTATAGATGAACTAGTAGATTTTGGATTCGAGTATAGTACATGGATAAAGAGTTATCATAATTATATTAGCCTGTAGCTAAGCTGATCCTCAAGTGTCCAAAACGGAATCATTATCATTCGTCTGTCGCTCGCCTAGAGTGGGAATGACGATGTTTTTTGAGAAACCCTATTTCGCGATTTCCAAGAGTTCTATCCATTCTATGTTACCCCAGTTCTTCTTTACTAAAAATATGCAAACCCCACTTTGTGATAACATGTGGCTGATCATTATATTCTACCTTCATAACATCCTTTGGAGATCAAACAACAATTCTACATTTTGAAATCAATCAACCACTAGATGGGAAAAACATCAAAATCATATAATTCAAAACACTCACTTCCTAAATACAATCAGAAAGGTATTTTCTCAAAAGCCTTCAAAGGTTGCTGTAAATGAAGGGATGTTGGACCAGAAGCACGGAAAGAGTACAAGAACAATGTGTTCCTAGTGATCCACAGAGGATAAACAATTTCAGAAAATCGGGAGCATGTGTGAGTGAAGCACGTTCCAACGAGTTTTAGAGATTGTAGGAACTAGATCAGTAAGTCTAATGGGTTTTTTAGGATGGATCATACTGTAAGGTCTTACTGTTTATAGTGAAAGTCACTGGCTTAGTCTCAAAGTTTTTAATCCTGTGAAGCATTTTCTCCGTCAACAAATCCTATGTTATTTACTCCTTTATTGACTATTGTGGTAATTCAACATAGGATAATATTGAACTGATTGACTAAACATCTAGAACAATTAAAAGGTAATTTGTTGTTTTTAATTGATAACTTTAATTTTGCATTACTCACCTATTCATCCTCTCTATGTGATTTTAGGGTCAAACTAGTAACTTTCAAGTGGTATCAAAGTCCAAATTCAATTTCGGACCCTAACTTTAAATATGAGTAGTTCATTATACGTCCCACCATATTTTGATGGCAGTAATATATCTATTGAAAAGTTAGAATGAAAGCCTTCGTGAAATCGAAGAATGAGTGTATTTGGTTGAGCATAATGAATGGTTGGAGTATCCCTTCTAACACTGTTAATGGTGTTATCACCCCCATTCTTATAGCTAATTGGTCGAAGAATGATTCAAATGAGTATAATTAGAGGAGTAAGGCTTTACATACTTTATTTATAACTGTATCAACAGAAGAATTTAGGCATGTGTCTACACGTGAGGTTATTAAAGAGGTTTGTGATATTTTACAGACCACGCATGAGAAAACTCAAGCTGCTAGCTCTAAGTTACAGATGTTGACCACTAAGTTTGAAGCAATTAGGATGAAGGATGATGAGACCTTCAATGACTTTTTATGCAAGCTTGAATGACACAGTTAACTCTAACTTCAACCTATGTGAGAGAATTTCCCAAGTCCAAGATTGTCAGAAAAAATCTTAGATCCTTACCTGAGAGATTTAGGCCTAAAATTACGGCTATCGAGGAGAGCAAAAATTTAGATACGATTAAGATTGAAGAACTGGTTGGATCTCTACGAACTTATGAACTCACCATATCTCAACATAAGAAGAACAAATCTATAGTTTTGAACACTATTAGAGAAGAAATGTATGACTCTACTGATATAGAGATCATTAATGATAAGGAGATAGCCTATTTTACTTGGAGATTTCGAAAAATATTTAGAAATAAGAAGAAGCCTCAAAGGAGACATTGAGTGCTCCAAATGAGTCTAGAAAGATATCTTAATCTGTGAGATGCTATAAGTGTCAAGGTTACTATAGGAGTGAGGCCTTAACAATATGATAAATCAGGGTAAAGCGATAAATGCAACTCTCACTGATGACGAGTCTACCTTGGATAATCAAAGTGAGAAGCCCACTCATGATAATAGTGAGAAGTTTATGGCCTTCACTGAGTGAATCTGATAAGGACAGTGAGATGATTGAGAAAGTATATAGTGGTGAGTACTCTAAGGAAAAGTCTAAAGATGAGGAAGAGATTTGTGAGACTTATCATCAATTATTTGAGGAGAATCTTATAACTAAGAAGGTAAATAAAGCCATGATTAAGAAAGTTAATGCACTTGAGCTAGGAAGAAAAAGACTTATATATGAACTTTAAGAGTCAACAAAAAGTCTTAGCGAGTTAAGATTAGTTAAGGAGAACTTAGAGGCTAAGGTTAAAACCCTGACAAGCGACCTTAAGGAATTTAATGCTCAACTCAATTCCCTCTTGAGTTAATCTCTGAAGCTGGACAGTCTTTTAGGGTTAAACAAGCCTACTGGGACACAGGGAAGGTCTAGGATATAAGTAGGTCAATCATAATTGAACAAGTACTTCCAAAACAATTTTTGTCCCTGCCACCAACCACCCTAAGTATGTTCCTAATCTTGAACTAAAGAATAAGGGTATCGTAAGATAGAGGCATACTAGACAGTGTAGAACCTACCAATCTAGGAATAAATATCAATGACCTCATAATTTTGGACCTAGGTTTATCCCCATTTGTTTCAATTGTGGTGAGTTAGGACATATAAAGCCTGAGTGTCATAAATTCCTGAATAAAAATAGAAATCAAAATTTCAATAGAAATAGAAATCGAGATTTTGATAGTTGGATTGACTTCTTGACTAATAAGGTGAGTTAATTGACCAAGTTAATGACACATATGATTCAGAATAAGTCTTCCTCTGGGCAAGTTTGGGTTAAGAAGAGTTAACTCTATGATAGAGAGATGCTCTGACTAATGATGTTGTTTGTGTTGCTCTTCAAGGGAAGAACATTTTTATGTCTCGGTGAGTTGGTATTTTTAGTGCATGCTTGTGCTTATTCATTGTGCTTATTCTTGATAGCATGCATTTTTTTGTTTGCATAGGCACACGCACATTTTTTTGTTTTGTGCATATTTTTTTATTTTGTGTATTTGATGCATTCATGTTTTATTAATTAAAAGAACAAAAAGAAATGAAAGAAAATGTCCTTTTTTTTATACACTACATCATGATATATGAGTTGTTTGAACATGTGTATTGTCACCAAATATGAATTTAATTGATGTGTTATAGCATATTTCTCATTACTTGTTTAGATCTTTATGGAGTACTTAGTTTAGGTTTTTTCATGTACCATCAACACTACACGCACTATGATATTATGAGTGGGACTTGAACGCATGTGTGAGATTTGAGATAGCAATCATGTGTTGGTAAGGTGACTTTGAACATGAATTGATCTTATTCAAGTAGACCTAAATTTGAGTATATTTCCTTAAAAGAAAAAGTTTAATAGCTTAAACTCTTCTTCGAAGCCTATTTAACTCGAGCAATTAAGTTCGAGGAATTTCTCATAACTTGGTGCTTATGATCATTTGACTTGGGTTAATCGACATAAAGCTCATTACATGAGTCATCTTAGTCACTTAATAGAGAAAAGATTGCACATAAGATAAAAAATTAATTGATAAGCTTCAAAATTTAATTAAAAAATATTTATATGCTCAAATTTAGGGGGAGAAAAGAAAAATATACATAAAAAAAGAGCTTCTTTTATAGGTTCTAATA